CCGTTGCCATCTACTATATGACGACGCTTAACCTTCCGGTTGAGGTTATGAATAAGATCGACGCTCGCTGAAGAAAAAGTACAAGGTTAATTGAGATCAAATGCGGAAATCAAAAACTTTACGGTGGCCTTGTTGTCATCAATCTGCAATAGTTCGTTTATGCCCTTCGTAGTCGTTGGCTTTGGAGAGAGCGGCTCACCACCGTCAAACCTAGGGTTGGCTTGGGGAACCCTTGCGACCTACACGACCGAGACATCAGATACAAAGTTTTATTTATGCTATTGCCACCTAGTATATGACGATGCTTAACATTCCGGTTGAGGTTATGATTAAGATTGACGCACGGAAGGAAAAATGCAAGGTTAATTGGGATCAAGTGTGCATATCAAAACTTCATGGTGGCCTTGCTGTCCTCAATCTGAAATAGTTTGCTTCTGCCTTCGCATTCGTTGGCTTTGGGGAGAGTGGCTCACCCGTATCAAACCTTGGGTTGATTTGGGTAACCCTTGCGACCTTCACAACTGAGACATCTTTGTGGCGGCCACAAAGGGTGGTGGTGGGCGATGGTCTTCACGACACTTTCTAGGAATCAACTTGGCTTGATGGGTTGCGGCCTCGAAAAATTTATGATCTATCCAAAAGAAAGAACTGTTCGGTTCAGAAAGCACTTTCCAACAATTTCCGGGTCTCCCGGTTGAAGACCATTGAGGGCATCACGATTGACCATCTTAACGAATTTGTTACTCTCTGGGAGAAGCTCTCTCACATGCACCTCAACCCCGACATGACCGATACTATCTCTTGCAAGCTCACCAAAGACGACTACTATTCCGTGGCTACGGACTACAACGTGCAATTTCTTTGTTTAGTCGACTCAGATATGACTAGGAATGTTTGGAGGATCCGGGCTCCCCTAAGTGCAAGTTCTTCATTTGGCTTGTCATCAATAATACGTTTTTGACGCTGAATGGTTACAAAAAAAGGATGGCCTAATTTCAACCACTGCCCCCTTTGCAAGCAAGTTCAGGAATCGACGGCTCATCTTCTTTTCAAATGTTGCTACTTGATCAGATTTTGGGACATGATTAAAGCGGGGCTAGGTCTCCATGATGTCCATCCTCACGATTTAGCCATCGCCGACTCGGTGAAGACTTGGTGGAGCACTATCGCGTCTAGGATGACGCAACCGCGAAGGCTGCTAACCTCTCTTATGCTAATCGTCTCGTGGGAAATCTGGAAAGAGAGGAATGCTAGGGTATTCCATAACACTGTGGTGCCTGTTGGTGTTTTCGTCGCGAGAATCAAAGAAGAAGCGGGGTTTTGGTGCCTTGCCAGTGCTAAACATTTGTGTAACGTGATGCCACGAGAGTGATGTATTGTATGGGGCCTTTGGCCTTTTGAAATTTGGTCTAAACCTCTAAAACTCCTTATTCAATGAAAATGGCAAATCTTTTGCCTAGCTCAAA